ATGGGGACACAACTTTCTGGAAACCAATAATAGGGTGATTTGATTTTCAGAAAAAGACCAACAGTGCTTTTTTTTCAAGCCTCTCTCTCTTTGTGAAACCACGAGTTCGTTCTGGGCTCTTTTCTCTAAGGACGTAAGCAGAGGGGCCTTCCAGGGAGTGTGCCCCCCACATCTGTTGATGGATAAATGGCCTGCTTAATAGACTGGTAATGGGCAAGTCACCAGGCAGAAGGGTTCAGATTTATTTTGTTCTGTAAAATTCATTACTTTGGAGTGCTTGTCAAGATAATCGAAGTTCTCATAGGAAATAACACACTACTCCCTCACTTGCAGCCAAAGCCACAGCGTAAGGGCCCTCTCGTAATGTTTCCTTTGGCATTGATGACACAGGTGGTTTCTGTCGCTTCGATGCCAGCTCCCCTGGGTTGACGGGAAATAACTATGGATGAATTAGAACAAACGCACTTTAAGCCCCACCAGCACATCCAAGGTCTAGACACAGTAATTGTTAGTAATAGACAGAGTTTCTTGAACTTGCTGCCACTGATGGTTTGGTTTTGCTGAGGGGTATGTCTTGTGTGTCATATAGTGTTTAGCAGTATTCACAGATGGTGGTGGCACCATTTGTAAAAACGCCAACCAATTATTGAATAAACTTGGGCTTTAGGGTGGAGCAGAGGCAAAATATCATGTGCATCTAAGAAAGAGTGTGCTAGAAGCTACAGTGACTTTGGAGATACTTTCATTTTGTCTGTCCAGTTAAGATAAAACCAAGCTTTGCTCCATGACCCAGTGAGTCTAAGTTCTGATGTCACTCTGTGTTGGGGTACTCAGTTCCAAGGTCTCAGCATCGATGACTTATAGTCTCTGCTGTGAGATTCATGATGCTGTCAGGGGAGCAGATGTATAGATGGACAATCATGGGTCAGTGGGAATTACAGGGACATACTTCATCCTGCTGTTGATGCCATGGAGACCAACTCCTACAGTCATATTTCCAACTGTACCTTTTACTGTTGAGATGGATCCTTTGGAGTTCTGCAGGCACAGACTTGTTTTAAATGGGCAACCCACACATATATCCTTTGTGGTGCTTGTTTAGGCTGATGGTTTCAGCTCAGACTTATGTATTCAGATTCTCCCTGCCATTTACAGAAAGACTTACTTCCATCAGGAAGTGGTTCTGGCTTGTCATAACTGGAATTGTCATCTACTCAATGCTCACTGGGAAGGACACAGTTTTTTTCATAATTCGTGACTCTACGATGCAATGCATGGCTTAGTTCCATTTCTAACCCAGTAGGAATGTTGCTCACAAGCATTGTACAATATCTGAAGGTAGAAATCAGATGTTATACTAGATTTTTGGACTAAAAGAGATGCTATTTGAATATTTTGTAGACTTGCTGAGTGAGGCAGGCAAGAGAACTCGCAGGTCTCAACAAAGGCAAGTGGAAGGTCGAATTAAAAAAAAATCTACATCCTGAGAAGTGTTTTTAACTCTGAGGGACATTGTTCTTTCTTCCTCATCTATTCCTTCTTATGTTTTAAACCTCTACATCACACTTACTTCCCTGCATCCCTGTGCCTTGGGAATACCGACTCTCCTAGCAGTCACTGACCATAAGGTCTTCACTCTTGCTGCATGGTCAGGGGCTCTGTCTGGGAGCTGAGCATCTCACTGCAGCTGCAGCCTGAACTCTTGCAAGGCCATCAGATTCGTAGATTTGCAATTCTCGTGTGAGCGAGTGACGTAGCGTTTAAGTGAGGGGAAGATGCCCTTGAGGAATAGCTTCTGTCTGTTTTACTTTACTGGAGAGGAAATGAAAAGGTCAAATGATTCCAGAAAGGTGTTCATCTACTTTATTAATGTGTTTCCCAAGTAAAGAATAAAATAGGGTATCAGCTCTCCTTCTCTTTGCACTCCTTACAAGGGAGCAATGTGTCACCAATTTGCACATTGCAGGTTACAGTACTTGTGCTGGTGAATGGGATTTCTTTGGACTTCAGCTAAAGTGATACATGACATCATCTGGTGAGGAGAATGGTGAACCAGGAAGCTGGATGGTGCAGCCATACACAGGCACAGCAGTGGCATTCTTTACCAGATGTTACTTGAAAACAAAAGGGCTCTGGAATTTTCTTTTCTCAAGGAAGGTGTAAGTGAGGGCTCTTTGTTCTTTGAAAAAGACTATAGCTAAATGTGGCCTCTCCCTTCTGCGTGCGTATGCATGTGTGTGTATGATTGAGTGTGTATGATTTTATTTAACCTTATTGCAACCATATTAAACAAGTGCCGCTCTTTTGTTTTATGTGTTTTTTTTTTCGTTTTGGCATTGGGATTGAACTCTAGATGTTATGTATGTTAGATAAGAACTTTAACATCGAGCCATACGACCCTGTACTGTTATTCCATTTTAAGCAGGAGTAAGATAGGTCCCTCTTTTTCTGTTTTAAGGCTCTAAATTTATTTCAGAACTCTAAATTTTAGTCTTATCAGGTATGACTTACATACCATGCAACTCATTTATTTTGAGTGTATACTGCAGGGGTCTTTAGGCTTTAAACTTCTGTCACCCATGAAGCATCTCTAGAGTTTTTAAGTATTTTATTTGTTTGTTTATTTGTTTGGTTTGTTTTAATTGTTACAAAATTCTTAAAGTGTAGGGCAAAAGAGATGGGGTAGAAAGGTCAGATTAAGTCATAAATTAGTAAATTCCTTGTGGTGAAGCAGAAGAGTCATGGACTGGAATCCTATGAAAAGGCAGCAAAGAGAGAGGTGGCAAAATTGTACAACTCAAATCAGTGAAATTTTAGGAACTTACTGTACAGTTCTGAGTCTCAGCGTGTTCTCACCATGGAAACTTAGCACGTTCCCACCATGGAATCTCAGAATGTTCTCACCATGAGTCTCTGCAAGTTCTCACCATGAGTCTCAACATGTTCTTACCATGGAAACTCAGCATGTTCTCATCACGGAATCTTAGCATGTTCTTACCATGAGTCTCAGCATGTTCTCATCATGAGTCTCAACATGTTCTTACCATGAGACTCAACATGTTCTCACCATGAGTCCCTGCAAGTTCTCAACTATGAGCTTCAACATATTCTCACCATAAATCTCATCACGTTCTCACCATGAATCTTAATATGTTTGCACCATATCTCAGCATATTCTCACCACGTCTAGGCATGTTCTCATGCTGGAATCTCAGCATGTTCTCACCATAAGTCTCAGAATGTTCTTACCACAAATCTGAACATGTTCTCATCATGAGTCCCAGCATGTTCTCACCATGAATCTCAGCATGTTCTCATCATTAGTCTCAGTATGGTCTCTCTATGAATCTCAACATGTTCTCATCATGAGTCTTAGCATGTTCTCACCATGAATCTCAGTATGTTCTCACTATGAATCTCTGCAAGTTCTCACCATGAGTCTGTCTCAGCATGTTCTCATCATAAGTTTCAGTATGTTCTCACCATCAGTCTCAACATGTTCTTAACCACAATTGGAAGAAGAAGCTGACCCATGCCAGCTGTCTAAGAGACTGTCTTTATCTTCCATTCCATTCTGAGGTCTCAAGAGTTTTGACTGGGCTATGTAACTGTGGCCAGCTTTTGTACTTTGGAGATAAAGACTTTGTTTCCAGGAGGTGCCTCTATCAACTGACTAATACCTTGAAGCTCCTCTCCTCACAGTGTCTGGCCCAGGGCCTCCACATGTAGCCTGAGCCAGTTTGAAGGAAATCAGTTTTGTTAATTGCTGTGGTTTGTAAAACCTAGGAAATTCATGTTGGCTACACAGGGACAGTCTTTTTGGGGGTAGACACAAGGCTCATTCTTGTCATGTGCTATTGGTCAAATTGTGTTCCCTTACTGACAGGGATAGAGAAATGATTGCCACTCCATGGTTGCAAGAGCCATGTGACAGAAAAACACTTGGGTTGGGATGCATCATTTTTGCTTATCCTTAGAAGAATGAGAAAGAGCAAGGTTGATCTAAGCAGGAGGTGTCTCTGAGTCACCCTGTTACATCCAGAGCCATGACACTGTTGTGCTTACGCAATGCTCCATGCTTTGTGGTAAAGACACAAGCTGTGATTGATAGTGGAAACCCTCCAGCACTTCCTCCTTACTTCCTACTTTCTAGTAAGAAACCTTATTGTTTTCCCCCCAGTGTCTCTCCACATATGTTACCCTCCGCACAAGACTGCAGGGACTTCTTCACCAAACTCTCTTACTCATCCTCAAGGTGACTCAAGGTTACTTTTCCTGGAAGCTTCCCCATGATGGCCACAGAAAAGAAAATATGTCTCCTTGCTAAGTACCATACTCATCTTCTCCATGAGTATACCCAGGCTTATGATCTCCTGAGAACAGGAAGTTTTCGCAAAGTTAGTAATTTCTATGCAAACTACATATGCCAGGCAATTGACAAATGCACTTTTAATGGATGTTTATGTTTTGGTCTTAAAGAGGTGTAAGAGGTGTGTGTGTGTGTGTGTGTGTGTGTGTGTGTGTGTATGTGTGTGTGTGTGTGTGTGTGTGTGAGTGAGAGAGAGAGAGAGAGAGAGAGAGAGAGAGAGAGAGAGAGAGAGAG